ATACTTCGTTAAGGTCGACGTACCCGTATCAGATATCATATCGAATACGATACTCGTTGGATATTCGATGATACGTGTCAGATACGCATCATCCGTATCCGATAATTAATAAAATATGTGAATACTTCGCGGATACTTCTAAACATAGAGTAAGATGTACAATTTTTAATTTTTAGCTATACTCCTTTTTTGGAGTTCACATACAATATAAAACATCAACAAAATTTCATTTGAGTTTGAAGACACGAGTGTTTTTTAAGTATTATATATTATTAAATGTTAAGAGAGTATAAAAAAAAATTAGTCACTTACACTATACTTTTAAAAATAAATACTTATAATACTAACTAGTTAAATGTGGTTATGATTCATTCAATTGGTCATGCTCATTTTATGCACATATCATAATGAGATGATATTACATCATTTTTATGGTAAAAATTCATAACTTTACTTACTAATGTTAAAAAATTATTGAAAAATTGTAATTTCTAAGTTGTTAAATAATAGTAAAATATAAAATATATTTTATTACAGACATATCCTGGCCGTGCCTATATCCTGTGTTTTTTAAGTTTTGTCGTGTCACCGTATCCGTATCGTATCGTATCGTATCCGTGTCACGTATCCGTATCCGTGCTTCCTAGGCTTTTAGTCTTTTTCCAAAAAAAATGTAATTAGTGACAAATAAATTTTTTAATATAGTTTAGCTCAATTAATTCTAAATTTTTATACCAGCTTTTAAATTTCCCTTTACTAATGGGATGAAAATGAATTGGACTTATTTTACACCCAATTCATTTTAAAACTTTCCATAATTAGCCCAATCCGTCCAATTGCCAGCTCATTAGAGGGTATCTTGTCAAATAATTTGTCCCAATAGCATCAAGACCATAGAGCACCGTATTGTCTCTTCTTCAGATTCCTATCTATTTCATCCTGCGATTGGTGACAAATTGCTACGATAATATGGAGTTTCAGTCAAATAAAATATGAATTCCGTGAAGACAAATGAGTGTGCCTATAGAAAAAGAAAACGAATCCAAGAATTTAGTGAAGGAGTAACGAAGTATATAATGAGCAGGGCATTCTACATTATAAAAAAGTGTAGCGGAAGTGAGCCAATTTTGGTTTAGAAAATCCATCTTACATATTTTTCTGTGGCAGATTTTTCAATCAACAATGTTGTGTTTGCCAAAATTTTTGCAAATTTCTTTACACCAAATATGAGTGAATTGTGGAATTATTTAGTCTCGTTAACTTAAACAAATCATAAGTTTATAAATACGTCAAATTAATTTGTGAAAAACGAACTGATAAAAGTTTTAGCAAATATAACTTTATTCTTTTTCAAACGTAAAGTGATACACTCCTGACCCGCCTCTATGCATCTGAAAATCAGGTTAGTTGGAAGGCATTGTTCTTGCAATAGAAATTTCTACTCATCAACATGTTAACAACAACATTCAAGTCCCAGTTCACAATTAAAAAAAGAAAGAAAGAAATAAAAGAAAAACTAACATTCAAGTTGGGCAGAAAAATGTTTTTATCACCGACCTTCTCAAGAGAGTGTCGGTCAAAATAATTAGGTTCACAAGGTTGGGGGTTCGTTTTTGGATGCATTAAAAAGGTCTCCGTCAAAGACTTAAGCAATTTGAGTACCATTTAAGCAGCTAGGCATCAACCAACTGGTCTACCATTTGATATGGTTAGTGCAGGTCAGTTTTAACTAGTTCAAATTCGTTCGTAATAAAATTAAATCAAATATAAAAAAAAAAAATCATTTTACGGTCAGGTCGTGCTCGAGCAATGTGCTGCTCAACTTGGTAGACTCGTGTTCAATTTTTTACTGATTTAAAATATATATATTTCATGTTGAAAATACAACAATGCAACACCCTTACACTCCGTTTGGCAGGAAGGATGGAAAGTAGCAGAATTACACTTTCTATCATCTAAGAAAGAAAATTATGAATGATACATTTTCCTACGTTTTATATTTGGTAGGATAGATGGAAAATAAAAATGATTAATTTTTTTTTGTACTTTTTAAGATGGAAAAAAAAATTTCTTTATTTTTTATTTTTAAATTTAAATTTAAAAAAAATAAAAATAATATTTTACCATTCTATTTATATATGAAAGTAATGTATACATAATATATAATTGATAAATATAATATATGCATATATAAAATAATATATAGACAAATAAGATACATTTAAATACAAATAATTAACTTTTCATAAAATTTCTTTCTAATTTTAAAAGGATTGATTTTGGTGAATTGGAAAGAAAGTTTATTTATCTACTTTTTTATCATTAATATTTTTTTCCTTAATGTTTTATCTATCCCTCTAATTTTTCATCGTTCTATTTTTATATCGTACAAAACGGAGCATTAGCATAATTAATGAAACATTTGGTTCTTAACCAAGAGATTTTGGGCTCGTGCCTCAATGAACTCCTATTCTTTTTATTCTCTAGTCCTTTTGTTGACCGATGAGGCTGAGTGTGGATTCGAACCCGCAGTACCAAAATGAGCAAGCTAACGTCTGCTCAAGCCTGAGCATACATTTAGAAGTCAAGCCGAACTTGAACATCGAGCTCGAGCCTATATGATAGTCAAAGCATACCGAATCTCAGAAGGTTCAGCTTGATAAACATTCCTAAATATGACATGCAATTTTGACAATCATAATTGTTATGGAAAGGACGAAGTTACATGCACACTAGAGAAAGACGGCTATTATACTTTATTACTTTCCAAAATTACAGAAATTACTGTGTTATATTAAACTCAAGTTAGTCCCTAAATCCTGTATTTTATCTTTTGTGCTATATGCATGATCTTTAATATGCATCGAATCCAGTTGTTTAGTAATCAAGAGGAAGTGGGTCAGATTAATTTTTCTCTTTCTTTCTTTTCTTTACAATGAAGTAGTTGAAATACCCCAATGTAGTATCTCATAAATTCATAACACATGTTTATAGCATGAAGGGATAAATGACAAGAATTAACAGCTTATGGTAGTGGGCCCAACAAGTGTAGTAGGATTGGTATGGATAATTGTGCCACGACAGAATTTCAATGTCGTAGTATGCACCCAACACCACAACAACACTTCAGTGCCGCGGCATACGCCTAGGGCCACGACACTATGAAGGGCGGAACACATTCTCATCACATTGAGAGTGACAAAATTGCACCACAAAAGTTCGAGGGCAACCTTGTCGTGACTCTCCTCCCCCAATGCTAAAGCAAGACACAAGGATGGGATTGCACAGCCAATGAAATTGGTATCCTCAACTTATTAGACATTGTTGCTTGACTGGCCTAGTGGATTAAGAGAAGGGGCCCCGCTTAGGGAGAGGGTAGTATGACCCTCCTCAAGGAAGAATTGAGTAAGGGAAATAGACGAGCGTAATTGTTAACCTTGACTTGGAACATGATTTCGAAAGTTTAGTCTGCTCAAACAGACATCTCAGTGTATGTCTCACTTCCCATTGGGATGTACATGACTAGGATCTGGAGGGACTCTTACGATAACTGAAGTTATTGATTCGGATCAACATATGAGATAATGAGACATGTGAATTTGGATTGGTCGTTGAAGGATCAAAACAATGTAAGTTTCCTCTATCGAGCACCTTGGCGCTAGGGACATTGCGTCCATGGCCCTCTCAAGATCATGGTCCTGCGGTGACCAGTCGTGATCATTAACCTTGATTGTCCCCTTTCACCTCGGTTCTCGCATTCTCCCGGGGCTACCTTCAGGCTGCGTTTGAAAAAATGTCACTTTTGTGTAATTAATATAGAGGCACGTGGCTCACGGTTAGCGACCACTAGTATCACAATTGTCAGACAGCCTGACATGCCTAGGCACTGTGCTATAACTACCCGTATTACTTGCCCACTACAAAATATGGATTTTACTACAAGCTGGTGAGAGCATTTACTCCACTTACCTTTTGCCCAACTGGTTGGCCCATTTGTTAATAGGTTATTCGAGTTCTTTTCATCTCATCCGCTTACCCTACTCGTCCACTTCGATTATCTTTGGGATAGACACGTGTGTCAACCTCTTTTAACTTTCCACGTACCTCCAACAACATCAATGCAAGCACAAGTGTATACTCGATTCCCCTCTTATTTCACCTTCTTTGATTAATTAATCCAACCCTAAACCCTAAAATCTAAATCTAAACCCTAACATGAACTTTAAAACCTAAACCATAAAACCTATGTGTTAACACTAATAATTACTCTTCAAAATTACTTCCAATTGGCAACACAAAAAATGGTTTTTGGTGGTTTGTTTTTGAAAAAAGCATCGTATCTAACACTTTATTGCAGTGCCCTTTTGGCTTTGGGGTTTTCAACACCAAAAGTTTTGGGGGCAGCCTGTTGTAGATGCATTAGTTTTTCCCGTCACATATTTTGTGCGATGTGTTACCTACCGTCTCAAATCTCATATTATAGAGACAAAATATATTTTCAAAATTAAAATGGTTTTCTTGTGTCGGCAATTTAAAAAATAGTTTTGCTTTGTAGTGAAGAGAATGATAATTGGTGTAATGAATTGCTTGTAGACACATGCACCAAAAAAGAATTGCATTTAGACACAAGCAAAGCATTTAATTGTGTGTTCATTTGTTGTTACCTTCCTATACCAATAAGAAACAACCTAAGAACATCAATGCTAGCACAAATATAAATTCCTTTCCCCCATTCATTTCACTTGCCTAACTAATTACTACCCTCGATTGTACGAGGCTGTAAATTTTGAAGTTACAACCGGCTATGGTGCAAGCAACCCTCTGGTGTTAGTTGTATGATCCAACATATATTTTATAAGATCTAACCATTTTCTTTCACATTTTAGTTAAGATCTTCTCTCTTTCTTTTTCTCTCTCTAGCTCCGTCTCTTCCTAATCATATAACTTGAATGCTTCCATGATCAACATTCAACAAGTCCTCTGAAAAAATGGAAGCAAAAATGGCAAGAAGAGCCCTGGTATCTTCTATAATTGTAGTGTTGACTAGTTTTATCATAATGCATGCTTATGGAGAGAACTCTTTGCCTCGGTTTTCCAGTGGTCATTATCATGACCAAATGCAAAAAATGGAAGCGTATAAGGCCTCGCTCCTTCGACGTGATTTGATCTCTATATCACCTAGCTCGATGTTTCCATCGCCTAGCTTTGCGTCATCACCATCACCGTCACAGTCAGTGAGTACAAAAATTTTGTTGTTGATTTTAATTTCATTTCATTATCTTTGTTGCTTCTTTATTTTTTTTTTCACGAGTCTCTTGTTATAGAATCTTGAGATACATAACTAGTTACACTCGGAGTAACTGTTTTCATTATTTTTCCAAAAGACCCGCCCTTTATTGCTTCATTTTAAATCTATGTCAAATCTTGAAATTGAAAATAAGCAATAAAAACTCATGACAGAGATGGTGCTAGTTATTATTTCTATACATGTATATGATGTAGGTTACACCAAGTCCACGTGTGTATCACGTGACATCTTATGGAGCAGACCCAAGTGGGCAAAACAAACATTACAGAACCACTTCTTGGAGCAATATCAGATGCATTTGATGGTCCTAGCAATGGCTTCTTGATGGAAGGGATTGTTAATCTTGGTGGTTCACAGGTTAATCTTGAAGGTGGAACTTACATAGTTAGCCGTCCCCTGAGGTTTCCAGTGGCCAGCCGAGGTAACTCATGGTATGCTTCCAATTCTTTCAGAACTTCTTGGAATGACCCAGGTGGCAGGATGAATTCTTAGTGATTTTTCATTGATGTCCCTAGTCTTAATCACATCATATATACTTGGATTATATTGTTAGTTTTTTCTTAGGTCAAGAATGGCATCTGGTGATGAAAAGGCAGTGAAACCTAATTAGACTATCTTCATTTTATTAATGGTGTGGTTTTTGATCAAGTCCACCACAAACCCATCTATAGTTTTGAGGCTAACTACTTCACCAAATGGCAGGTTCTTATGTGACAATGTACCTAGTCCATTTCATTCTTCCATGATTTTAAAGACTTTATATGCATGTTTTTGTTCAGTAATGGCCCATATAACACATATGAGAACCAAGCCATTGTGATCCTTGTTAGATCTTTAGAATCCCCCCTTTTTACCAGAAATTATCTAACACTAAGTGATTTGAGCATCATGGATTTGAGTCACAAGTAAAATCACAAATTATTTTACTATTAAGTGAGTTGAGCATCATGGATTCAAGTCACAAATAAAATCTCTCTGCATTCAATGGAAGGAGTAAATATTGGGTGTAATGGTGACACCATGTCATTATTGACACGTGGTGTCATCATCATCCAATAATAAATCTATAAATGGGTAAGGTGAACCGTGAACCCCACTTGGGTGATTATTAAATGACATGATAGGGTGGTTACCACAATATGAGGGATCCACCTACTTATTTGTGTGTTTATTATTGGATGGTAATACCACGTGTCAATGATGACGTGGTGTTAACATTACACCCAATATTTTTTCCAAGAGAAGGCTGTGTACATCTAATTCTCACAGTAGCAGGAGTCTAGTACTCTAAGTTATCATTTTTTTTAATCTAAATCATTGTAATATGATTTTTTTTAAAAGGTTTAATTAAGCTTGAGTTCATGCTTCACCGAAAGTTGTTTCCACATATTTTTGATCAAACAGATACATGGAGGAACCTTACAAGCTTCAAACAATTTCCCTACCAAAGGATATTTGCTTAATTTATCAGCTACGAAGGGCTGGGACAAATATAACTATGAGTATGTAACCTTCAGAGACCTAATGTTGAACTCTAATTACAAGGGTGGAGGCATCCAAGTGATCAACTCACTTAGAATTAGCATTGATAACTGTTACATTGCTCATTTCACCACAAATGGTATCATAGTCCAATGTGGTCATTAGACCTACATTCGAAACTCGTTTTTAGGCCAACAAATCACTCTCAGTGGTGATCTTGGCGAAAGGAACTTCACTAGAACTGCAATAAACCTTATGGGCAATGACAACGCTGTCACCGATGTAGTTATTTTTTCTGTTGCAATTGGAATAATGGTATCTGGTCCAGCTAACACTTTTTATGGGGTACATTGCTACAATAAGGCCACCGGTTTTGGTGGTAATGGCATATACCTAAAATTGCTAGGATTGACACAAACTAGGATTGTGAATTCCTACTTGGATTATACTGGAATTATTGCTAAAGACCTTGTGCAACTTCACATTTTGAGCAGTTTTTTTCTCGGGGATGCATTTATTCTCTTCAAATCAATAAATGGGGTCATGAATGGGGTGAATATTGTTGATAACATGTTTTTTTTGGATCAAATAAAGGGGTTGAAAATTTTCAGTTGAATGATATCACCATATATTGTTGGGGCCTATCGTGTGTTGGTACGGGACATATTTATAGTGGGGTTTCACTTGAAGTCATGAGTAATGATCTACCACCGAGAGGATATATAACTTCTCACCACAGCTGGATCCATCTACATAGACTAGACTCATTGTACAAGCAAGGAATTAAGAACTTTATCAAGTTTACATGTGAAAATAAATCAAATACCGTGGAACTCATGTGATCATGCAAAAAATATCGTAATGTTAGATTGATAAAAATGGAGCTTTTGGAAAAACATTTGATCATAAATGGATTTTTTTTAAAGTTACACCTTGAATTTTTCATGAGGAAAGTTCATTTGCCTCAGTTTCTATTAATCAAGTGATTTTAGTTGGGGGGATAAAAGTCAAGAAATGTTACAAGATCCATTTGAGATTCTCTCTCCAAGCCCAGTTTATGGAGTGAGTGATCACGAGCCTGAAAGGAATAGTAGAGAAGGGCAAAATCAAGAGACATAAAAGTTTTTCAAACTGTTCAAAAAGGTTGAACGAAAGTTATATTTGAGATGCAAAAAGTTTTTGATAATGTCATCTATCATTTAATTGATGCACATCAAGTGTCTTAATGGATGGAGAGACAAGTCATTCACAACATTTCTTCAAGTACTAAAGAGATATTACTTGAAGGTAATACACTACCCAATTAATTTTATGTAACCAAGCAACTCATTAGAGAGTTAGGTCTCCAATGCATTAAGGTAAATGTGTTACCACTCAAATAGTGTATCACCTAAGCGTAGTTTTTTTTAAATTATAAATTTTCTTGGAAGTCTGAGGGTGTACCTCAAGGAATTGTGTGAACTTAGAAAGAAAAGAAAGACAAAGTAAAATTCCTTTGAAAGTTGTTTAATAGATTTGAAATCAGAAAATAGTAAATCTTGGTTCAAAATACGAATTGGGAATACTAAAGCAATCAGAAATACCCTTTCAATTTCACACAGTAATTATTAATGATCTAATTTTTGAACTCAATTGAGAATCAGCTAAAGACTAATTCCAATCGGAATATTTAGTGGTGATAATATTGAAAACATCTAAAAGTATAATTGATAAATTATTCAGCTAAATCTAATTAAGTATCTAATTGCTCAACACAAGCATTTACTATGCTTGAAGTCTACAATGAATCATGTTTTTCAACAAATAAACCTTAGTTTCTTCATAATTAAACTAGTAGTTGTACATGTGCTTTGTACGTGAACCATTTTGAGAATAGATTATTGAATACTAAGAAGGTTGTGGACACTTTAATCATTGTCTTATTCATGATACAAAAACTCACCTTTTACTTAAGTACTTGAATGTAATATTTCATGTCCAAAAACCTTGCTATTGTCCAATTTTAGACTCTGGCATTGTGGCTATTAGTTTTCTATAGAACACAAAAAGCAACAAGGAGGCTAATTCACTTGCATATTTTTGTGAAAGTAAAAAAAAAATATTCAACAAATAATATCATGTCTATATCTGCATGTGGCAAAATAATATAGAGATGATTTTGAGCAAGTCTTCTAGCAATTTGGAGCATTTTTTTGAATTGATTTTTCAAGGAATGCAAAAAAAATTTTCGTCCAATAATATAATTTTCCAGTTTCAGGTTCTATTGTCTAAGCTATGACAAATCTTGGTTGAGCCATTTCATACCTGTGAGATTTGAGCATCATAGATATTGGATTATGGCAACAACTAAAATTATCTATCAAGAAACAATGAACAATTTAATAGATAATTTGGATGAAAACCCTAAAAAAATAACAAAGTGATGAAAACCCACAAAAAAAAAATAAAATTGAAACACATATCAAAACAAAGTGAATTTTTTATAACCTTAACTATGACTCCCGGAGAACACTAGCATCAAAGATATATGATTGCCACTCCTTATAATTAATATTGTCCTTGAAATCAATACATACCTGAGTGAACATACATGTAAGATAAAGAGATGATAATATTACACTAAATAGGAAATAGAGAACTTAAAAAAAAAAATTGATGCCTAATGCAATAACCATAATTCTACTAAATCAAATGAAAAGAAAATACAGCAAATGGATTGAAGACAAGGAAAAAAACACCCAATCACTTAATCAAGTTAAATGAATACCTATTTGAACCCAAAAAATAAATATAACATTGTTGACAAACAATATTACATTTCACTAAGATTTGTCTAGAGCTGGGCTATATTCCATTTTCACTAATGTTGCGTGAGCTTAAAATAAACACCCAATTGCCACATGGACCAAAGTCATTAAACAAAGTCAATGAAAAGGACCATAATGTAAAACAGATAAAAAAATTACCAGATAACTAAAAATTACTCATATATACCATAAGTATTCTTTTACCACTCTTACTAGCATTTGGAAGTTTAGGATTGTGAAAGGTGCTTGCTTTTTTCAACCCGAACCAACTGTTTTGTCCCATACCAGCATAACTTGATATTCCAATTACTTTCACATGCATATTCATGCAAGTATAATAATAATTAGTCTTCATATTTATGTGATCCATAAGTAATAGATAAAATGATGTAGAGGTAGACAGCGATACCTTGATACATGAAGATTCGCGAAGCAGGGACGTAGTAGACCTAAGGAGTGAAGAGAATGCTATTACAAATATCAATACCCATTTATATTGATGTTGATCCATCATCTTTTATGGAAAAATTGGCAATTACAACAAAATCCCTATGAAATGGAAAGAAAAAGTAGCCAAAGAAACAAAATAACGAGATGAGAATGCAAGAACCAGTGAAAGAAGAATTGGTCTGAATGTATCTCCTTCCTTACTGTAGGACATAAAAAATGATCGCAACAACTAGTGTGGTGAAATAAAAATGGTTTTTGATCTCAACAATGAATATTCATTTTGGTTGCTAATGAGTTGAGGTCAATAGAACATAGTATGCGGCTTGTAAATAACTCATAAGATGAACACCATTACCTATTTTTCATCTTTTCTACACAAACAAATACTATAGCAAATTGAAAGAACATGTCTCTTCGACTTGCCCACAAGAAAGAGGCAAAATGTAGCTTAATTTTTAAGAAAGCATATATAAGAATATTAAAAAAAAAATCAAATGTGAAGAATAGTGATGGATATTGTTCAGTGTTGCTACATCGAATGAACCCAATTATGGCAATGGATATTGTTCAGTGTTGCTACATCGAATGAACCCAATTATGGCAATACAAATTTGAGATAACTGAAATATTGTAGTCTAAGGAGTGGGATTCAAAGAAAAATTAGAGATACCCCAAAAACAACACTGACATCAAAAACTTGACAACAATATTGAAATTAAAAACAGAGAAGCATATTGCTTTTATGGGCTGCTTTGGCCATCTCATGGATAAGGCATCAAGAGAGATAGCCAGCATCAATGTTTTTATTAAAAGAAATATTATTTGGACTTAAAATATAGACTTGAAATTAATTGTTCCATGCTTGTAATGGAGCTATGTCTATATGGGTTTTCATCATTAACAGAGAAGATCATAAAGTATAGTAATTGTTTCTTTCGTTTTCTCATTAAAGTTGATTCCTTCTCCAAAAGAATAAAGTTCTCTTTTCATCTACTACAAAAGAATAACACCCAACAAAAGTCACTCAATTGCTTCTATAACTTTCTCTCCTTATCTGTACAAGGAAAAAAAATTAAGTCACAATAATATCATACTTTTAAAATATCTACATGCTTCAATCTAATTAATATCCCCAAAATTCATAACAATATGCTCCATATTTTAAAACAAACCCACATAATAAAATTACTTAAAGATCAATCCATAGCAAGATCTACCCAAAATATTCAATGAATTATATCAAGTAGCCTAACACATAATCAATTATGTTTGCAGTCATCGACGTCACAAGTATTGTCTCAAGCATACATAACCACCTATTGTCCAACCTCAATACCTACAAAAAATAAACCATTAAGCTTAAAAAAAAAAAAAAGATAAAATAATCAAACAGGACAAAAGAGAGAACTCGAGGACAATTTTGGAGAACAAAGGGATCTAGTGAGATTAGTAGAGTAAATCAGATATAAAAAGCGCTAATAACATCCTGGAAAAACCCATGTTGATGGAGCATTTTTACATTCAACAAAAAATCAAATATATATTGCTCAAATTATCCTTAAATTATAAAAATTAGGGTCACTACCTTCAATAAATATTCTTAAAATTGATTGAGAAAATGTTTCAATTGTCCCTTGACCATGAAGAGCATTATTGATATTCCTCTCACCAAAAGCTTTACAACCTATTGAAATAAGATGAGAAGAAATGATCCTTGGTCAGATTGCAGCAAAATTGAAATGAGACACAATATCAGAAAATGTTTAGAAAATTTACTCCCATATGATGACAACATTGAGAGGAAGCAATTGAAAAATAGATGAATGACATTTTTGCTCCACGTAAGTATGACAATTAACAGATTGTGAAACTAAGCTCCAATTTTCAAAAACAAAGTTCAATTAATACAATGATAAGAGCATATAGAATTCTCAGATATATACCACATCAGTTGAGCCACACAAGAACGTTAGATTGACTGTTTGAAGTGGCCCTCTACGAACATGAATAGGGTCAAGAACTTTTAGTTGCATCAATAACACATATAGAAGATTTTAGAGTAGTTGCTGAACATGGAGACAGTTAAATAGTTGAACAAGAATATTTTATTCAAACTTATGATTGATTAGGACGAATTCCAATGGCTCGGCAAGTTTTGGAAGGGTGATGAGATTCTCTATTGATACCCACAGAGAAGACGATGAGCTAATGATTAGAAAGAGAGAAGCGTCTGTTGTGGGAGACTAACAGACGTAATGCATTAGGATTGATTAACTTGATTTAGAAAGAGAGAAGTGTCTGTTATGGGATATATATCACAATATTAGAGGGACCTTGAGATGGTGATTGTTGTGCAACATTATCATTCCTTAAGCTCAAATTGAGATGATATTTTTATCCCAAATTATCATTCTTTATAGCATTTGCCTGGTCATATAAAACTTGTTTAAATGTAGGAATAGTGGGACACTCCTTTGTGGAATAACCCAGGACCTCCCAAATGCTACAAATTTCCTCTCGAGGAATAGTCTAAACCTCATTAACCTTCTATTTGGACATAAAACATAAAATCTCAAGAATATTCAATGTATTGACATATGTCAATTCGAATGCACTAGGAAGATGCCACATCACAGAATCTAAAGAAGGAAGGGAGATGATCAGCCACGGGTATTTGAAAAGAAGAATAACTAACTGGAGGTTACCATTTAGTAACCATCGATAGAAACAACATCATCAAAGATACTGACTATAAAAGGTCATGTAGTGGAGAAGATGGAGAATATAATCAAACCCCCTGATGAAGCCATTTTTAATGTCAATCCAAAACTTGTCACTGAAGAAGAGAATTTCTAATTTACCAGATTACCTGTTGTGGAGGAAGTTCGGAATATGGTTTTTCTATGTCAGTTAATAGTTCTCCTCGATTGAATGGTGTATCCCCATTTAACACGTATAAGACACAGACACTTCTTGAACACTGTAGTCATGGACATATGTCCAGTACTCTTTTAGCCATGTCTTGATGCCCATAATTGAAAGACAACACTTCAATGGTGATAACTCAATGGTAATAACTATCAAGTTTGCTACACTTCATACACGAAACAACACAATGATAATTATGATTCGTCAGTATAAAAGGTTCACGTTAGAGTACCAACATAAGATTTACCTATCATAAAATATTAATTTTCATTGAACCGTTACTATAGTTATCTTTGTACCTATTTACACATTAACATAATATGATAAATAAATACAAATATTTGTAACATGTCCACTACTTTTTATTTGTCCCATTTATTTTAGAAATTACAAGACAACATATTCGCATTCGATCATCTAGAATTTAAATTTAAACAACCATTTTTCAGCATAAAAAATTAATAGCTTCTAATTCAAAATTTGTGATTGTAGAATGACATTGAAACTCGATATATTAACCTCTTACTAATGAAGCTTCGGCAGGCACTCAATATAAAAAAAACTCTTACTAATGAACCTCTATCTCCAAGGTTATTTACACACCAAACAACTTTTCAAATTATTTATCTTTGAGCTCTCCATAGTTAAATGTTGCTGTGTAATATTCCAAATTTCATATTTAATTTTATAATTATCTTGCCATTAAAGAGAGCTTACCTGTCGGAATGAAGAATGTTTGGAATTTGGCTAGACTCTTCCATCTGTTGGAGGAAGGCGGCAAACCAAGATTGGAGCTCGGCCTGCACCTTTGTCTCTATTGAAGCATTCACAGTGGACTCCAGGGAATCTACTGGTGAAGTGATCTCACTAATCTGCCTCTCTAGCAACTTCAAACTCATCCTACTTGCATCAGCCTCCCCCCTAAGCTCCTCATTCTCCCTTTCTAGTTGAACTCGGATGTGATCCTCAACTCTAAATGTCCTAAGCTCTACAACCACATATATATCCTGATCATTTTTCACCGAGCACTTAAAAGAAAACAAAATGTATGAACGCCCATTTAAAAGCCAAACACCAACATAAAAAAATCACAACTCCCATTCCCATTAGGTTTTCTCCCTTTGCTGACAATGACAAATTCGTTGATCAACATTTCTAGATGAAAATGACACTAACAATGACATGTAATCAAGCAATATCTGTAGCTATAACTAGGAATGGAAGCATTCGCAGAATTTTGAATAAACACCAACACAGAAAGATCTACAAAAGCTGCAAAAAATCAAATGGGTTATGCTGAACAAAATTTCAATGCACACATAGTGCACTACAAAAAAAATGACCAAATATCTAGATTACATATTGATTGTAGATGATATCTTGGGAAATTGATATTTTGTGAAATTGTTGTTGAATGTAGATGTTGATATATGCTAGATGATATATTGATATTATGAGAATTTATGAAAATTGTATGCTTGTGATATAATTAACCATGGTGTATGTTGAAATGTGGTTAAGACTGTTCACATGACACTCTTGGACATAATATAGTATTGCAATCGTATATTACATTGCATATGCACGGAGACATCGCATTCATGGGCATTAGGCATAAGTGTGGGTGTGTGTGCATGGTTGTCATCAAAGACCACACTTGGTGGATGATGGGTGGGCTCAGGAAAGTTAGATTGAAGATCTAGATGAGTCGTACGATTTGCATTGAAAATTGGGTTGGGGTTAGCAAGAAGGGCTAAACTATTCCTTGAGTGAGAGACCCGGTGACTAAGATACACACTTCCCTTGGTTTAGTCCATAAAGTGTGTCGGTGTACGGAGAACCGTTGGTGGAAGTCCATGAATTCCGTGTCGGTTGAGTGCCCGTTGGTGTAAGTCCATAAATACCCACCCCAAGAAATACTTAGAGATTTTAAATGGTCATTAGATGTATAAAATCAATGACGGGGACTTGAAATGCCCATATTTGCATGCATGGCGTTTGCATGTGTTGAAGGAGCCGGTGAGGGCTCGGGTTGATGTATGTGTGTGAGTCTCATCTCATATCATGACATGACATGGTGAATTCCAACATTAAGTTGTATATTTTTGATTGGAATGCTTTGTGGTTTGTTAAAATTGCATATGACATTTCATATGCATCTAAGTTGGGGAGTAACCTCTTTAAGAGATACGCTATTTAACGTGACTCACCCTTTATGGGAAAACATTTCAGGTGTGCGTTAGACACCGGTGGAAGGATCTCATTCAAGGCCTCAAGGATGAAGGAAAGACAATTTGTGGCTTTTAAATCATGTTTTGTAAAACTTTGATGTAATTCAGTTTTAGGCATGTAATTATATGAAAGTGATTGAAATCCAACTTGTACGAACTATGTTTGACGTGAAAACTTCATTATGCATGTGTTAGGTTGATATAGAGGGGATTGGAAATCGAAAATGGATGAAATGGGTAATTATGGGCACACCTATTGGTAGGAGTTGAGCTCTTCTACTGGTAGATGTGGTCCAATAAGCATTATCTACCAGTAAAATGTCACTATTCCTACCAGTAGAAAAATTCTAGTAGGCTCTTTTTACCAGTAGAATAGGACTTCTTCTACCAGTAGGATTTTCACAGATTTTCTAAAAATAGGAGTCTAGTACACAACTTCTACCAGTAGGTTTTTGAACACTTCTACTGGTAGGTTTTCTACAAACTTCAAAATTTTGAAACATTTTAGCAAACTCTTGGGCAACTATTCCTTTTGCTCAAAGGGATTATATGTGACATGAATGACTATGAGTTGAGGTATAATGTAACGCCCCAAAATCCACTTTAGATGGTATTACTATCTAAAATCATTCACATCATGAGAGCAACTAATAAAATCTATAAATAAAAAAAATTTCATTCATTATTTATAATATCTACAACATCATTCAAAAGAATGTGTCAAACCATGACTATTACATCCAAAAGAATATGCCAAAGTATGACAATTACACTTCAAAAATCAACTTTTATCTTGCAGTGGAATAAACAAAATATCATCCATACAATGTCTCAAAATGCATCCCTAGTCTAGAACATTACGAGATCAACTCTAGACATCCCCCTCAGGATTGACGCTTCCATCCAATTGAGCTTCCCAAGCTACTTGCTCATCAATTCCGAACTCTTCCTCTAAAGTGAAATCTAAAAATAAATATTGTTTGTAAAGGGTGAACACTAAGCTCTGTAGGAAAATCCTCCCAAACTCGAACAAGATTTAGAAACATATAAAATAGTTCGATCACTTTACAAAATATCATATATAATTTGAAATAAAACAGTGACAATTTATCAGATCTCAAGTTCACGCAATACCAATAAATTAAATGAAGAGTAAAACCAATTTCCAAACAATAAACCATTTCGAACAATAAATAATAACCCACAATTTGTACCATTTCCACAACGTATCTCAGGCATGATGTATGATATCGCATGAATAAACACATCGAGAATATCCTGGCTCACACATACACTCCCAATCCTCGCAAGAATATCCAACTTTAGGAAGGGTGTATACCGACGTATCGGCAGTGACGATCCAACCCAGGAATAGTATACTAACCCTTAGCCTCGATACCACGTGAGCGGATAGTAATTTGGTCTTTGCAAGGCACCAACCCCACTACAAGTAGTAAGAAACCTTCAAACCCGCACGAAGTAAGAAATGCATCTACTCACTCTACGATACCCGATCAATGGCCACCCATGGTCATCCAAACATCCACAAGAGATAAAATACAAACCCATTTCCTCAAGTCACAAACAAATCCAAAAATCCCCAAATTCCACATGTATTAATTCAATATTATAATTTAAGAAGATATGCAAGAGATCATAAAAAATATCATTTTATTGTTAAATATAAAGTACTAGAGTTTTGAAATCAATAAAAAAAGAATATTGAGAGAAAAATATATTTTTTCTTGAAAACTAGGATTTTTAAGACAAGAAAAAGAGATTTCATGGCTATCAAATCATAGCTTCCATCAAAGTATGGTAATATTTGCAAGAGTATCAACAAATAATGATTTCATAACATATATGTAGGATTGAGAGTCAAAACATACATACATATATATATGCCCTAACCTCAATGAACAAGAATAGGAAGAAACCCTACATTGCTTCCTTAGTGTTGTGTGACAAACTAGAGATTTTGATCTGATCCAATGCATAAATCCCCATCAATCTTGTGTTTGTCCCCTTCCTTCTTACTCTCCAAAGCTCTCTAGTGGTTAGAATTGATGAAATACTGAAGAAACTAAGCCTAAGGAGTGTTCCAAAGGAATTTATAGTGAAACAATTGGAGAGAACACCCAAAACAGGTATGGGACATGAAGCCCCTGGTTTGGTGCATCCGGATGCGTGTTTTTTACTTTTCAAACGCGTGTTTCTTCGGCTAATTTTCCGCCAAACGCGTCTAGATGCTTGTCTATTCCCATCCGGACGCGGGTGGCAGGATATCCTCAACTTCGAGATTGATTTTGACCTATTTAGAAGTCGATTCAAAATAATTTCGTAAAATACACTTTTGTAGCCCTTGAAGTCTGGTTCCTACTATCCAAAAATAAGATCAATTAGAGTTAGGAGGAAAAAGTTATGACTAAACTACTAAGGTAGTGTCAAATTCCTTTCTGCCCAAATCCTCTCCAAAATAGGTTTTAACTCCAAAATACTTTCTAAATTCTAATACACCCCATATTATCTCTCCCAATGTTTTTCTACCTTTCGGATTCAATGAATGCATTATTTTGACCTAAAAATATTCAAAAACTTATCTTATCACCCTTCTTAAGCTTAAACACCTTCTAAACTAAATTTGACCATAAAGTCAATTTGTTCAAAACTCAAACTTCATGATCAATCTTTCAACAATGATTATAAGTTTCTACCATCATTTTATTCATATTAGGAGAAATCTTAAGATAATAGTATCGTTATTTAATTTTAATATGGGGTCTTATATATAAAGGACTATTGATTGATAAATGATAAAATATGTAAATAGGTTATGATCCCAGTTAAGAGGATGCTATCGGCGTGATGTCGGGTTATGCGACAATTATGGGTACTTTCGCGGGTAGATAGGTGATCAATGGTTGACAAAGGACTCTCGATTTTAGGGGTGTGACAGTTTGGTATCAGAGCTTAGGTTATACGATTTATCTAGGGCTTGCGAGGCATGGGTTTAGACCATTGCATCCATTGTGCATTACATGTTATGTGCTTTAAATGCTACATATTTTGTGTTATATGTTATATGAACAATATGCATGATTGAATGTATATGGAAAAGAGACACTACGGTTAGAGAACATAACTTTGGGGGTCAAAAAACAAAGGAACAGGACGGTTCAGGGTGTTGATGTCTACTAGTGGTGGCACATGCTCTACTAGTGAGACAAGGAGAGAAATCTAAAAGTTTGAACTTGATCCCTCTTTTGGGATACTAACCTAGTGCTCTATTGCTATTCGACATGTGTGTAGATGGTACATAGAGGAAGAGGACGTGGCCGAAAAGGTGGCCAGAATAACAACCAACCACTACTGGCCTTTGTCCAACAAGCCTTCATGGAGGCTATTTGCACGATAATGACTATCTTTGCATAGGCTAGAGCCAATGTGGGTCAAGGGGGCTCAAATAACCTCCAAAAGTTCAAGGCACACAAGCCTCTGGCTTTTATGGGAAGGGCGGATCCGATGGTGGTCGACCACTGGTTCCAACAAGTTGACAAGATCTTAGAGGCTAAGAAGATCACCTCCGATGCCACTAAGATAAGGCTTGATGTATTATAGCTAGAAGGAGAAGCTCATTTGTGGTGGGATTGGACAAAGGCCTCAAAGAACTTGGAGACAATGACATGGGGAGGGTTTGGGAGCTCTTCATGGGCAAGTACTTTCCATCAGCTGTTTAACATGTGATTGCCCAAGAATTCTTAGATTTGAAGCAAGGAACTATAACGGTGCTGGAATACGTGGCTAAGTTCACTGAGTTAGCCCATTTCGTCGATGATTATGTGGCCACAGACATGGCCAAAGTAAAGAGGTTTGATG